TCAATCATATACAGTAGAACTCAAAGACGGTAGAAATTGAAGAAGGCACATAGACCAACTTCGTAGCCGCATGTCCAATTCCATGCTTAGACAACCAACAGAAACTCCTCACCATCTAGTCAAAACCGAACAAAACAAAATAACAATCCTTCCAGGTCCAACTCAAGCCCGAGAATATCGGAAGACTTATCTGACTTTGATGCAGGCCCACAGCGAGCTCCAAGCGAGTTAACCTCAGAAGCTCCAGCCGCAGCCTGTGAAAAGTTCCAGGAGCTTCCATCAGGCAGAGCTGTGGAGCACACAGGTCCGTCCGACTTGTCTGAAGGAAACACCAATACTGAACTGCGCAGGTCAAGCAGAGCTACGCAAAGTCCCGCCTACCTACGTGACTACGTCACCAGAGATTGTTCCATCTTATAAGGAAGGGGTGTTAGATATTCCACCCTCCCCCCCCACTAACAGAGGTTTCCACCAAGGTCCTCTGTTCTGGCGGGAGCAGAGGCTCAATCCCATTGGTCAAGAGTTCTGATAGATCCCTTTAAAAGGAGATGCTGCCCGACTATTCTCCAAGCCGGATGTTTACCTGACTTGCAATAAAGAGCTGTTGTTACTGGAACCTTTGTGTGCCTTTCCTTTACCTGATCTAACACCCTGAAAGCAGAATCTCAGGTTTTTAGTAGACCACACACCTTTCCAGTTATCCACGGCTTCTGGTTAGGGTGTGAGATAATTTTCTTGGAGACTGTGACATCATCAGTGTACTTGCTGATGTAGCTGGTCACTGACCGGCTCCTCCAAGTCAATGGAATCACCATTGGTTGCAGACTCCCTGAACATGTCAGGCAGTGCATTCAAAGCAGTCCTGAAGAGCAGAGATGGCTCCTGCTGGGCAGGTCCTCACCAGCTTCCAAACTGATCTTGAACACCTGATGAGTGGTCTCTATGCTGGAATTAGCATAACAGAGATGTGGTCTGAGTAGCCAAGGTGTGGGCGGGGCTTCGCCCAATATGCACCCGGGATGTTTGTATAAACAACATCCAGCATGTTTTCCCCTCTGGTTGCAAAGTCCACATTCTGATGAAATTTAGGAAGCAAAGTCCTGAGATTTGCATGATTGAAATCTCCGGCAACAATAAACAATCCATCAGGGTGTGTATTCTGCAGTTTCTTGATGGTCCGGTGAAGTATAGAGCATTAGCATTAGTGCTAGGTGGGATATATACGCTGAGTATGATAGCAGTAGTGAATTCCCTGGGTAGATAAAAGGGTCTTCATCTCACAACCCATAACCTCCACAAGTGGTGAACAGTAGGTGGAAACGATGACAGAGTTTTTACACCATTCTGTGTTGATGTATGCACACAGTCTGCCATCACCAAACTGAAATGGTATTCAGTTTGTGCAGCATCTGTAGTGATCAGCAGGAAAAGTATAACCAAGTTCATTGTTGTACAGTTTTCAGTCATGTACAGAACTCTTCCAAAAATGGCTGTAGTTTCTCTGCAGAGGTTCCTATCAAAATCTACTGAATCAAAATACAATCTCTAGCCATTGGTTCCAGGAAGCCAGGGTTCTATTAGCACTCAACACTCATCTAGTAATGTTTCCACTCAGGTTCCATATTGATGCTATCAAGCATTTCTTGTTCCGTTGCTATAGCTCTCAGTTATGTCTACCAGCAAGAAAACAGTTCTTCCTTCCACACTTGGGCTATGCAAACCTTCTCCATTGTGGGTTCACTTGGATAGACTAAGTGATATGCACAGCTTCCATTGCTTGAATGACCTTTGGTCACACAGGAGACAGATTAGCTGTTAAATTTTTTTTCCAAAAAGTAATAAATGTCATAACTGACTGGAATCTGATAAGACACCTGGACATCAGTCTTTTACCACAGGTGCCAGAGAAATCAAAGGCATAGTGAGTGCAAGGCACAGCTCACCAGAACCCAAAGTGCTCACCTTCATTTTGCCATGATTCCACATACTCCTACGATCTTGTTGATAAAATACCTTTAAATTGGACAGAATAAAAGTAACCTCCCCTTTGCATAGGAAATCAGTTACATGTAGTCAAACCAGTGGTGGGCTGCTCCTGGTTTGGCCCGGTTCAGCCAAACCAGTAGCGGAGGCGGGGTCACCCTCCTGGATGCTTCTGTGCATGTGCAGAAGCATTGTGTGCGGAAGCACATATGGGAGCAGGAGCAATCCACCACTGAGTCAAACATGTTACATATTTGTATCCCACATCACTCATGCTCATTAAAATGAGGTCTAACATCAGAAGGGCTGTAATTGTAAGGGAAAAGGTTGTTTAGAGTTCAAGTTGTACTAACAAACTTTTCTTATCAGGAGGTAGCCTCCAGCTTGTTTTATCGGTTTAGGAATGTTAAAAGCTAATAAATCTGAACATCATTTTAAAACAGAGAAAATAAGTCTGTTGTCCCCAATTTGGGTCTGAGCCTGGTGCTGAAGCTAATGATGGATGCCAGACACAAGGTGCAGGTTTTCTGACTGCTTTTTATTGGAGTACTCCAAGGAAAAGGGTTCCTGGTAAAAAGCCAAGAACCAAGAACAAGCGATTAAGTAAGCTTTATACAGAAGAAACTTGAAAAATTAGAATATCATGCAAAAGTTCATTTATTTCAATAATGCAACTTAAAAGCTGAAACTAATATATGAGATAGACTCATTACATGCAAAGCAAGATAGTTCAAGCTTGTGATGATTATGGCTTACAGCTCATGAAAACCCCAAATCCACA